CCAATTTAATCCTCATAATGACCCTGCATAAGCAATGCTATCACTTCCACTTTATAGACAAGGAGATGGAGAGGAGAAGGTAAGGAAGTGGCTGAGGCCATGCAGTTAGTAAACAGTGGAACACTGGCTGTCGGACACTCAGGGATCTTGGTATTTGGTTCTGAATGGTGCTAGTGCCCTGTTTTCTGCTGTCTTCTAACCTGCCTCATAAATGATGACAATAATGAGTGCCCTGGAAAACATGATTTCAGCTCTCTTTCCCAGTGGCTTCCATATTCTGTATTTATTTGTTTTATATCTTAACTTTTTAAGTTCGATTTGGGGACTTGTTTTATAAAGTATATAGCATACGTGGAGAGAGTACTATGTGGTATTACTTCTAAGTTAATAAAATGGGCTACATGTGTATAATTTCCCTCCTGATTAGGTGTGATTTCAGGAGAGTTTAAAGAACTCTAAATTACAGTCGGCAAAAATTATGGCTGATTTCTCCCATATGTTGAGTATATCTGTGATATATGAGTCAACCCCCATAAGGAGAATCCACTTCCTCGGCCCCCTGTTTAATAGTAATGAGATACAACACAGACAACAACGCTAGTAAGTTCTACTCAACGTCAACCAGTGCCAAGCATTGTGCTTGAAAATACAATACAAGGTAGTGGGTGTACAGCTAAGTTGAAGGCATTGCTTATGAGAGGTCCTGTGACTGACTGGCTAGAGGTCACAGCTTGTAAATGCCAGAGATAGTATTTGCCTCACATCAGATCAGTAATGGGCTTCCCCAGTGGCTCCGTGATAAAGAATTCGCCTGTAATTCAGGAGATGTGGGTTTGAACCCTGGGTCAGAAAGATCCTCTGGAGAAAGGAAATGGCAACCCACTCCAGTATTCTTGCCTGGAAAATCCCAATCCATGGGGTCACAAAAGAGTCGGACATGACTGGGCAACTAAACAAAAACAAAAGCAGTAATGCAGATATGTCCTTTTGTAAATATGTTAGAGAACTTTCTTTTCTTTGTGATTTTCTATCTCTCAAATGGAAAAAAGGCCCCTGTCTTGGTTTTAATCTGTTCTAACAAACAATTTTGAATCCTCCATCAAAGTGTCAAAAAAAAAAAAAAAAAAACAGCTAACGAGCTAATAAGTACTATTTCAGGTCTGGAGATGATCTCTCTGGCCTGAAGCCCTTGGCATGGCCCTTGGATAGCAGATTGATTAGCTCCTACTTACTTGCATGGGGCCTATTATGGGCCAGGTTTTGTGCAGTCCTACCTTCACATGTCGAAGCCCTAATTCTCACTGTGGCTGTATTTAGAGATGGAGCCTTTAAGGAAGTAATTAAAGATATGTGTTGCGTGTGTGCTAAGTTGCTTCAGCCGTGTCCAACTCCTTGTGACCCCATGGACTGTAGCCCACCAGGCTCCTCCGTCCATGGGACTTTCCAGGCAAGATGCTGGACTGGGTTGCCAAGCCCTCGTCTAGGGGATCTTCCTGACCCAGGGATGGAACCTGCATCTCTTAGGTCTCCTACACTGGCAGACGAGTTCTTTACCGCTAACACCACCCAATGAATTAAAAAAGGTGGGACCCTGATCCAATAGGATTAGTGTCCTTATCAGAAGGGACACCAAAGGGCTCTCTCCCCATTTCCCCAACTCCAAAAGAAAAGGCCATGTGGGGACATATTGAGAAGGTGGCCCCTGACAAGTCAGCAGGAGGGCCCTCACTGGGAATTGAGTCAGTTAGCACAGTGGTCTGAGATTTCTGGCCTCCAGAACTGTGAGAAAATAAATGTGGGTTGTTTAAGCCACTCAGTCTCCTCTTATGGCAGACTAACACAGGGGCCAAGAGCTCTCAGCTTTCTGCCCTGAGAAGATAGTGAAAGAAAGGGAAATAATTAGAAGAAAAGAGGAGTCGCTGGGGAAAAACAGGTCAAGAAAGCTGTAATTAACCATGGTCTTCTCCCTGCCTTATGCCCATAGCCTTGGGCTAGAAAGACTGAATTTATAGTTAGTTTGTGAATATGCAGATTGACTTTCTCAGCTATACACCTCTGGGAAGAAGTCTTACCCAGGGAACTTATTAAAGGCCCCAGTTCAGGAAGTCCAGTGTAGGCAAATGAATAAATAAAATTCTGCAAACCTTGGGATTTCATAGAAGGAGATTATTTCTACTTTCGAGGAAGCATGTGAAAGCATCTCCTCTTCAACACTAGGTCTCAAAGACAGGGGAGAAAAGGAAATCTTAAATGGGGTTGACAACTTCAGGGTACTTGATTTTGAGTAAAACAAGAAATGCGTTCATTAAAGAGGATTGGCTTTCCAGGATTCTTGCCTGGAGAATTTCATGGACAGAGGGCGACAGTCCATGGGGGTCAGAAAGAGTCAGACATGACTGAGTAACTAACACTTTCACTTTTAATAAAATGGCAACTGCTCTGTTCATCAGTTTGGATAAAGTTGAAGCCACCCCTAATACTAGTGCCTTATCACTTGAAACTTTTAGAGCTTTTGTCTGAAAACCCTATTACACAAATATAGGAGGTGGGGATTCACGTGTTCTCAGAGTCAGCCTGGCTCCCCATCTTCTAAGGGTGGGACTAGCACATGTGGAGAATTCAGGGACCGTTGTTGGCAGCCAGTCAGTGGACATGTGAGGGTCCTAGGCTAGGAGGTGTGGTGTTGTGAGATCCAGCCCCCAGTGTAAGTGGGCAGACAGCAAGCACCTACTTTTTTACTTTTTTAAAAAAGACATGTTTGAGAGTAGGACAACATGAACACTTTGAGTAGTAAACCTTCTTGTCATCTTTCTAGAATAAAACAAAAGCCTTGGAAAAGGGCAGCATTCCCTACTCCCTTATCTTTATTTTTAAATAGTAATGGCAAGCTTGACTGCTAAAGCCATCTAAAATCAGATAGATTGGGAATTCTCTGGTGAAAGAATAAATTAGTAGCTCACATAGGATTTTAGTGGGAATCTACTTAACTCAGTTATTCTACATACTTTCTGTCAAAGCTCTAGTCCAGGATGCCCCTGGTAACCAATAGTGAAGTGAGGAACTCTGAAAAATCTAGGACCTTGAGAGGAGGGCCGAGATATCCATAGTATCCATAGAGAGAAGAGTCTTAAACTTTGCTTGTTGAGAAATCAACAAGAGGAGGGAACCTGACTGGTGTCCTGCTGTGTCCGCCACTTAGGAGATTCAGGGGACTTAAAACTAGTGAAAAGCCACTCACAGTGACGTCACTTTATTTCAAAAGGAAATTATTTAATTAATAGAACAAAGGGGAAAATATTCCATTTGGGCTGATAAAAAAGGTAACTTGAAAGGAAATCTGAACTGCAATGTTCTGTCTACATGCAGTACTTATTTTTTCATCAGATGAGCAATGTGGGGTATGTTCCTGAAAATTCAGCTCTCATCAAAGACAGAAGTGAACAGAATTCAGAAGAGCAGGTCTCTGTAATTCTATGTTTGGAGCTGCCTCTCTGGGTTAGAAGGGTAGTCTCAAATGTCATATTGAGAGCCACTCAGGTCTTTTTATGTCTGTCCAAAAAAAAAAGTTGCCAAAAAGGCTGACACCCACCTCAGGGGAATTATTGTTCTTGCCAGAAGCAAAACTAATACCTCCACATCTAATCTCTTCTTTTTAAATGTTTGTAACAAGGTCATCCATCGTATTCTTGTTCTTTGAGAACAACCAGCAGTTCCCACTCTTCATGAAGCAGGCACCTTTCATAATTACTCCAGATCCACCATACTGCTTAAACTCCAATTCTAGGAGTATTTTCTGGAAGCCACAGATTTTCAAATTGCAGCCAGCAGGATGCTTTTTTATTGTTGGCTATTCCTCTAAGGAATTTAATAAATATTCTTTGACAGAGCACAGCATAATTGATTGAGCCACTTTCATTTTTATCAGCTCCACAGGAAGCCTTAGTATTTGCTGGAAACCTCTGGGAGTTGCCAGCAGTTGCAATAAGAAGCTTTTGTGAGGTCCTTGGGGAAAGGGGTGGAGAGGAGAAAATAAGGTTAATATCTATTATCATAAGCCACTTTCTGAACCTTATCAGGAGTTGTAAACCCCTGAGCATGAGCAATGTGGAGGTCTATGGATATTCTGTGATAAGCTGTAAAAGACTCCATATCTTCTAAATGAATAGTTAAGAATCAAGTAAATTCATGGTGAGTTTTCAGACAGTAATTATTTAATATGTCAAATCAATTCTAAAATAATCCTTAAATCTGACGGCATATTTCAATACTCATTTATTTGCAAATTACCCATCAGCATGGATTATTTAGGCTTTGGAAGAAAAAAGTTGATTTCAATTTCTACTATCTGAACTTTCAAAATGACATACCCACAAACAATAATTTCAAAGTCAAATTGTATATAGTTGAAAGAAAAATTGAAAGTGTTAGTCTCTCAGTCATGTCTGACTCTTTGTGACCCCCTGGACTGTAGTTCACCAGGCTCCTCTGTCCATGGAATTCTCCAGGCAAGAATACTGGAGTGAGTAGCCATTCTCTTGTCCAGGGGATCTTTCCGACCCAGAGACTGAACCCAGGCAGATTGCAGGCAGATTCTTTACCATCTGAGCCACTACAGAGCTCATAATAATATATGCCATTTACCTGTAGAGTCTCTTTCTTTTATCTTTGGGGTCTGAGTTCAACTATTAATTTTATAAAACCTTTAGGAAACATACAAATACACCATCCATACAAAAAAATCTTGATATATTTCCAACAAGTTGTTTATCAACAGATGAAACTGTCTTATAGTGTCTAAAATTCCAGGCAGAACACCTTTTCACAGAGAAGTCGGGCTAGTCTGGACCACAAGATAGCTTGCTAAGTTTACAAATGTCACTTAAAAAAAAAATTATTCTGGCATTCCAATTTTTGTCCTTTTCTTGCATGTTTCTACCATTTGTTCTCTAAATGTATGCTTGGCTCTGGCCAGATTTCTGGCTTTTTGCTTTTCCACTTACTGGAATGCCTGTGAAGGTAACTGGAGGAGACTGCCAAGAAATGCTGAAGCTGCTTCCATTGGGGGTGAACTTGGCCGCTCCTGGAATGGTCACGGGGGGCGTGGCCTGTCAAACAGAAAACAGAGAAAGTTGTTTTGAAAGAATATTTCTCCTTGGAGTCCTCAGCTGTCATTACCAAAATAAGGCTTCGGAAATAATCTCAGCTTTATTAATGACAAAATTATAATAGGAAGAAATTAAACACGGTTAAAGAAAGTAGCTAGAGGTAAACTTTTTATACATCTAAGCAATCTAAGGTATAGAAGGAGAAAGATTTTGGCTGCTGATTTCTGAATAGAAATTTGATACACATACCTATCTTAGGACATCTGTGAGATACAATTCCTTGTTATCAAGTTGGGAGATCAGCTTTTTATAAGTGATGGTAGGTTGTCAATTACATTTTGGGAAGGTAATTTGGCAATACATGTCAAAATTCTTAGTGTTCTGTACACTAGCTATTCCATTTCTAGAATTTATTCTAAAGAAATGGACACAAGGATGTTCATTGCAGAACTACATATTATATGTTTTTTAAAAAACTGGAAACACATAGGGAAGGTGATGCTGAAGAATACTCATTGGCATGGGAAAATGTTCATGAGATCTCAAGTGGAAACAGCAAAGTACAGTGGAAACAGTACTATAATAGATTCCGCTTTTAAAAATGCACACAAAAATAAATAAATAAAAATGCGCACAAAGAACAGTCCTGAAGGACCTACCAAAAATATGAACCAAGGGGCTTTCTTGTTGTTGGGACTTGGGATGGATTTTCTTTCTTTGCTCACGTTTTTAATATATTTATGTTGAACATTTATATCTATAAACAGAAAAATCCCAATGCTGTGAATCTGTAGTTTGGAAAGGCACTTCTAGATCCCTTAGTGTATGTTCCAACTCTCATTGTATACATAAGAAAAATAATTTAAGTTGGTTCAAGCCCATGATTTTGGACCTAAATGCAATACTGACAAACAAGAACTAAGGGATGAATTATTCTTTTTGAATAGAAGAGGCAGGAATGAAAGTCGCTGCATCAGCTAATTTAATAATTAGCACTATTCCATTGCTCTTGAGTTGAAGTCTACTTAATAAATAGCTGAATGTCTCCTCTACAAGTTAAGTTTTTCTACTTTTATAAATATATTTGCTAGTGGCAGTGGTTTTGTAACTGGAACCATTGGAAAATATTTTGGCAATACATAGCTGTTCATGCTCTATCCTAAGACTCAATAATTACTCTTCTGGAAATTCAGTGGGAAAAAAAAAAACAAAACTACTGGCACGGAAGTGTCCTCAGTAGCCTTATTGATAATAATTAAAAAGTAGATACCTAACATAAGAGAAAGAAACAACTTGGTGTTTTGATTTAATTGAATTCAGTCATATATTCAGTTCTACAGAGAGTGTTTATAAACAAGAGTAGAAGAATACAAATTACAAATATGTATAGGAGAGTTTTCTTTTAAAAAGTTACATAAAGTAGTTGAAAATTATGGGAAAACTTTTTTTTTCATTTGAGTGTATTGAAATTTTATTAAATCGACACTTAAAAGAGTTCAGAATTGCTGGGAGAGTGGGGAAGGAGCTTTAGCTGTGTCCTGTATTTGCAGGATTTGTCTCTAAGGCCTTAACAGACTTCAGAGTGAGGCAGAATCACTGTAGGGTTTGTTAAACACAGACTGTTCGGCCTTACCCCTCGCTTCTGGTCTGCAGGTCTGGCAATGTAAATTTCTAACAAGTTCCCAGGTGACGCTGACACTGTTGATCTGCTGAACACTGACAACCATGGCTCCAGCCTGAGAGAGTTAGTTACCAATTCAGAGAGGCAGGGCACAAAGTCCTGGATCTGCAGTATAGGATGAGGCTGTCAATGTGCCAACGCTTTTCAAAGTTCATCTTTTCATTTATTTAATTTTTTTATCTAACAAGTACTCACATCATGTACCAGGCACCCTCCTGATAATGTTACAATATTAAGGATTTTAATCCTCATAACAACTTCTCAGGGATCACATCTTCAGTCAGTACTGGGAAGTTCAAGAACACCCTAGGTCCAAACTGCATGAGATTCTGGCTTTAAAAGGAGAAAAAAGGCGAACTCTGCTATTGGGCTCTCCTGGATGCTGTTTTCCCACTGAGCTATCCTTTACTCACCTTGGAATCGGAAATGGCAACTCACTCCAGTATTCTTGCCTGGGGAATCCCATGGATAGAAGAGCCTGATGAGCTACAGTCTATGGGGTTACAAAGAGTCAGACACAATAGTAACAACCCTTAACTCACAGGTCAGAATGCTACTACTTCTGGTTAGGAGTAAAGTGATTGCTCTCACGATCCCTGGCCAGTCACCTGGTAAGCGTGGTCAGTGTGCACGAGGTAGAGGGTGGTGGGAGCAGAGCGGCTCAAGGGCGTCATCAGTTTTGTCTCAGTTTTGGCACAAGGAGTTTCTGTTCGGCTGGAATCTGGGATGGGAAAAGTAGGAGGCGAAGCCAGGGATTGGGAAGGCGAAACTGGGGCCAGGCTGCTCAGACCGTCTGCCACGGAGTCTGTGTTGAGCTTGATCTCAGTGTAGTAAAAGTCTTCTTCTCCATCACTGTAGTCAGACTCCCCAACACGCCTAATGCAAAAGAGAGCAAAGCAATCCTACTCACCCATACTGCTTTCTTGCCTTGAGATCTTGTACATGCTGTTCCTTCTGTCTGGAATGCTTTTCCTCTGTCCTGTCTGCTTGGCAAACTTCTACTTATCCTGCAACTGTCCACTTCCGGGGAAGCCTTCCTTGATATCTTAAAGCAATTGACTCAACTAATCAACCAATCAATTATTCAAAAAAAATTTACTGAGAGTCTACTATGTCCAGGCACTTTTTTAGGAACCCAATATTAGAGTGAACAAAACAGATTCTGCCCTGATGGGACGTACAGTTTAGTGGGAGAGGCAGACAAGAAACTTGTAACAGGACACATCAAAAATAAATAATAATATCCCCAGGAATAAACCTGCCTAAGGAGGTAAAAGACCTGCACTTGGAAAACTATCTGACACTGATGAAAGAAATTGAAGACAACACAAACAGATGGAAAAATACACCATGTTCTTGGATTGGAAGAATTAATATTGTTAAAATGACCATGCTCTCCAAGGCAATCTACAGAGTCAATGCAATTCCTATTAAAATACCAATGACAGTCTACGGCCATACCACCCTGAACGCTCCCGATCTCGTCTAAAATACCAATGACATTTTTCATTGAACTAGAAAAAATAATTTTAAAAGTTGTCTGAAAATACGAAAGACTCCAAACAGCTAAAACAATCTTGAGAAGGAACAGAGCTGGAAGAATCATTTTCCCTGACTTCTGACTATAATGTAAAATTACAGTGAATGAAACAGTATGGTACTGGCATAAAGGGGATTCCCAGGTGGTTCAGTGGGTAAAGAATCCACCTGCAATGAAGGAGATACAGGAGCCACAGGTTTGATTCCTGAGTCAGGAAGATCCCCTGGATGAGGGCATGGCAATCCACTCCAGCATTTAGTTTGGAAAATCCCATGGACAGAGGAGTGTGGCAGGCTACAGTCCATAGGGTCTCAAAGAGTCAGACATGACTGAAGTGACTGAGCATGCATCCACTGGCATAAGAACAGATATATAGATCAATGGGACAGAACAGAGAGCCCAGAAATAGACTTACACACTTATGGTCCATTAATCTATGACAAAGGAGGCTAGAATATACAATGGAGAAAAGGTAGTCTCTTCCACATAGGTTGCTGGGAAACTGGACAGCCACATGTAAATGAATGAAATTAGAACATTCTTTAACACCATATACAAAAATAAACTCAAAATGGATTAAAGATCTAAATGTAAGACATTACACCACAAAATTGCTAAAAGAAAACATAGGCAGGGCATTCCTTGACATCTATTGTAGCAATATATATATATTTTTTGAGTCTGTCTCCTAAAGCAAAGTAAATAAAAGCAAAAATAAGGAAATGGGACCTAATTAAACTTAAAAACTTTTGCACAGCAAAGGAAACTATCAACAAATGAAAAGACAAACTACTGAATGGGAGAAAATATTTTCAAATGACATGATTGATAAGGGGTTAATATTCAAGACATATAAATAGCTCACTAACTCAACATTAAAAAAACAAACAATTCTATTTAAAAAATGAGCAGAACTAAATAGACTTTTTCCCAAAGAGGACATGAAGGTAGCCAAAAGGCACATGAAAAGATGCTCTACATCACTAATTATCAGGGAAATGGAAATCAAACCAATAATACCAACAATGAAATGTTACCTTACACCTGTGAGAATGACTGTCATCAAAAAGAACACAACAAATATTGGTGAGCATGTGGAGAAAAGGCAACTTTCATACACTGTTGGTGGGAAGGTAAACTGGTGCAGTCACTGTGGAAAATAGTATGGAGGTTTTGCAAAAAACTAAAAATAGAACTACCATATGACCTAGCAATTCCACTCCTGGGTATATATCTGAAAAAAAAAAAAACCCACCAGAAACATCAATTCGAAAAGACACATGCACTGCGATGTTCATAGTAGTATTATCTATAATTGCAAAGATATGGAAGCAACCTAAGTGTCAATCAACATATGAACAGATAAAGATGTTATATATACACACACACTGGTGGCTCAGATAGTAAAGAATTTGCCTGCAATGCAGGAGACCCGACTTTGATCCCCGGGTTGGGAAGATCCCTTGGAGAAGGAAATAGCAACCCACTCCAGTATTCTTGCTTGGAGAATTCCATGGACAAAGGAGCCTGGCAGGCTACAGTCCATGGTGTTGTAAACAGTCTGACACGATTGAGCTACTAACACACACACACACACACACACATACTCATACTACTCAGGCATAAAGAATGAAATTTTGCCATTGTGACAACATGAATGGACTTTGAGGGTATTATGCCAAGTGAGATAAGTCAGACAAAGACAAATACTATGATATTACTTATATGTGGAATCTATAAAATACAACAGACTAGTGAATATGACAAAAAAGAAGCAGATATAGAGAACAAACCAATAGTTAAGGGCGGGGGGAAGAATAGGGGTAGAGGATTAAGAGGTATAAACTATTATGGATAAAATAAATTACAAGGATGTGTGTATGTATGTGAAAATTGCACAGTTGTGTCCAACTCTTTGCAACCCCATGGCCTATAGCCTGCCGGGCTCCTCTGTCCACGGAATTCTCCAGGCAAGAATACTGGAGTGGGTAGCCATTCCCTTCTCTAGGAGATCTTTTCAACCCAGGGATCAAACTCAGGTCTCCCACATTACAGGTGAATTCTTTACCATCTGAACCACCAGGGAAGCCCAAGAATACTGGAGTGGGTAGCCTATCCCTTCTCCAGTGGATCTTCCCAACCCAGGAATAGAACTGTGGTCTCCTGCATTGTAGGTGGATTACCAGCTAGGCTACAAGTTTTACAACGTATTATTGTAAAACACAGGATGTATAGCCAATATTTTACAGTAAATATAAATGGACTATAATCATAAAAATTTGTGAATTACCACACAGTACATGTGCAACTTATATAATACTATTCATCAACCGTAAGTCAATTAAAAAAAAGTAAACCCATAAAGAAACAGATATTTAATACACTGCTGCTAAAGTCACTTCAGTCGTGTCCGACTCTGTGCGACCCCATAGGTGGCAGTCCACCAGGCTCCCCCGTCCCTGGGATTCTCCAGGCAAGAACACTGGAGTGGGTTGCCATTTCCTTCTCCAATGCATGAAAGTAAAAAGTGAAAGTGAAGTCGCTCAGTCGTGTCTGACTCTTAGCGACCTCATGGACCACAGCCTACCAGGCTCCTCCATCCATGGGATTTTCTAGGCAACAGTACTGGAGTGGGGTGCCACTGCCTTCTCCATTTAATACATTAGGTAGAGATAAATCCCAGAAAGAAAAATTAAGTAGCATTAAGAGCATCCTTAATCAGGGCAAGCGATGGGGGACATTATTTTAAATAGAGTATTCATAGGAAGACTCTCTGAGGAGATGACATTTGAGCAGAGGTCTCAATGAGGTGAGGGGAAAACCCTTGTGGGAACTATGGGAGAAGAATGCACAGAACCCTGGGGCGGGCTGGGTTGTTGCTTTCTGAGAAGGACCGAGAGGTAGGTGGCTGGTGCTCAGGGCGCCAGGCAAAGAGTGATGGGAGAAGAATGGGAAGGAAGGCAGAGACACAATGGCACAGGGCTTTGCAGCCCTGGGGGAAAACTTGGTATTTTTTTCTGAATATGATGGAAGCCTCTGGGGATTTTGAAGAATCTAGGTTACTTGTTATTTTTATTTTTTAAAATTGAAGTACAGTAAGTACAGTTAATTTACAATGTTGTGTTAGTTTCACGTGTACAGCAAAGTGCCACATATGTGCACGCACACGTGCATGTGCGTACGAGCGTGCGCTTGTGTGTGTGTGCGTGTGTGTGTATTCTTTTCCAGGTTTGTTTCCATTATGGGTTACCACAGGATATTGAGTATAGTTCCCTGCACTATACAGTAAGTCCTTGTGGTTTATCTGTTTTATACATGGTAGTGTGTATTTGTTAATCCCAAGCTCCTAATTTATCTCTCCCCACTCCACCCCTTCCTCTTCTATGCCCTTTGAGAACCATAAATTTGTTCTCTAATGCCATCTAATGCCATTTGCAACATGGCTGGACCTAGATATTATCACATTAAGTGAAGTAAGATAGAGAAAGACAAATATCATATTCTACCACTTTTATATGGAATCTAAAAATAATGATACCAATGAACTTACCTACAAAACAGAAACAGACCCACAGACATGTTACTTTTAAAGGGCTCACCCCGGCCATTGTCTGGAGAGAGAACAGAGGGTAGGAGGGCGAGAGGAACAGGAGCCAGTGAGCAGGCTGTGGAGCGGCTGGCAGCGGCTGGGCGAGGGGTCGGGGCGCAAGTGACCTGAGCTCTCAAACTGGGGACTTCGTTTGGGTGACAGGCATCAGGATTTAGCTTCAAACAGTTAAATCTTCTGAGCTCCCTTTGAAGAAGTGGAAGTGAAAGTCGCTCAGCGTGTCTGATTCTTTTCAACCCCCTGGAATTCTCCAGGTGGTCGCACTAGAGTGGTTAGACGTTCCCTTCTCCAGGGGAATCTTCCCAACCCAGGGATCGACCCAGGTCTTCCGCATTGTAGGCAGATTCTTTACCAGCTGAGCCACCAGGGAATTACTCTGAAGTGTGTTCATTTCAATTCACTTTATTTATTTAATGATTTGGTACATTTCTGTAATTTTTTTAAACCTCTGTTGCCTCCCTAAGACAGAGTCTTTAGGGCTGTGTCGTTCATTTTTGTTTAACAGATACCACATGTTTCAGCGCATCTGGCACACAGTAGGTGCTTGTTAAATGCTGAACGAATGAAAGAAGGAAGCCGATGCTATGGCACAGTGATTACCAACATGAATTCCGGAGTTACACTGCCCAGGTTCAAATCCTGACACCTCCCAGCTGCCTTTTGGCAGTCCGCGCCCTTATTAAAGTAGCATAGCAGAGCTGGCCTTCCGTGTCCACCGGGGGCCTGCCGAACACAGTGCTTAGAGGGTAGCGCACTCACGTGTAATAAGCACTAAATATTTATTAAATAAAAATAAGGCTGAAGCTAGAAAGACTCAGTGTTTACTGTCACCAGGAAAAGTATCTTCTGGTACTCCCACAGGTTCTTCTGAGACACAGAAAATTGTGCTCTTCCACAGTAAGTTTTGTGTAAAAGAAAATAACTCTCGTGTGTGTGTGTGTGTGTGTGTGTGTGTGTGTGTGTGTGTGGGCTCAGTCGTGTCCAACTCTTTGCAATCCCATGAACTGTAGCCTATCAGACTCCTTTGTCCATGGGATTTTCCAGGCAGGAATACTGGAGTGGGTTGCCATGCCCTCCTCCAGGAGATCTTACCGACCTAGGGATCGAAGCAGCGTCTCTTGCGTCTCCTGCATTGGTAGGCAGATTTTACCACTGCACCACCTGGGAAGCCTGTCAAATAACTAACATTTGTTGGGTTTGAGGATTTCTAGGGAAATGATGCACATTCTTGTACCCGGTTTTATGGGATGGGATCTGTAAATCTTCCTTTCCTGGGGCATCTCCAAGTTTCATGACCATATCTGGCAGGAGCAGGGCACTGACTCAGAATAAACTTTTTTCCCACTGACAATCCCTGTACAGAACCTAAAATACAAATCTCCCTTTCTCCTGGGCCTTTCTGTTCAGCCAGATCAGCGGCTTCTCCCAGCCTGGCCCCGTTTCCCCTGAGCTCTCTGGCTGAGGCATCTAGGGAGGTGTCTGCTCCGTATCAGGTCAGTCAGGGCTTGGCTCTCCTACAAGCAAAGCATCAAAGACCCCAGAGAGTGGGCCGAAGAATGTGCATCTGTTCTATTCCTGTCCCCACTTCCTCTCCAGGAAAGGGCGAGCCGAGTCGCTACCGGCTGCCGAGTGCTACTAATAGACACGCAGGCCTGGGGAAAATTGTGTGTCCTACACGGGGGTAAATCAGGATCAGCCCCTGGTGTGTAAGAATGGAGTGAAAATTAAGAGAAAAACAGTGTACTGCTTATGCTGGCGTGGTGTGCACTGCAGCTCTATCAGACACAAGATATTTATTTTGGGGCTTGGGGTATGCTCCCTTCTTCACAAGCAATCAACACTCATTAAAAACTGCCACATCCTCCTATAGCCTCCCAGGCTCATTCCTGGGCTGTGGCTGGCAGAGATGGGGATTCTAACTCATCAAGGCCATGTGAAACATGCAGAGAAAAAAGGGAATCCCAGGGAAGCAAATACAGCGCCTGCTGCACTTGAATTTCACCCACCAGGAGAGCATCCTGGAAGCTCAAAAGAAAATCATGTGATGCCACTCACAGTCTATAAACACATCGATAGGGTATGTGTTTCTGTGTGGTGCTGAATAGGATTTGACTTTTTGGGCAGATGGACTTTAAACCAACGACCCCCAGCTCCTGATTCTAGCTTCAGGAAGCTCTTTCTAAACGTTCAAATAACTGAGATATTTACACTGTGAGCTGTCCTGATGGTGAGAGGTGAGGGGAGACGCTGTAGGGTTTCCTTCCCTGAAGGAGTGGGTTCTGTGTGGGGTTTCTTGGAGGGTGAGGTGGACCCTCTGGCTCGTGGAGCAGAAGCCCTGCTTTGCTGGGCCATGACCACAGTGCTTGGTGATTTTTCACATGCCATCCTCTGGAAGGGTCTGGCTATGTCCCCAGCATCCCCAGCCTATGGGTGAGGGAGCTGGATTCCTGCTTCTCTCCAGCCATGGCAGGAGCCCATCCACAGGAAGCAGCAAAATCACCTGGGAACCCGTTATTGTTTTCTTTTTCTACCACTTTTTATGGATGATGGCTTCCCTAGATTTATCCTTGGCTGAGCAAAGTGATTGTAATGCTTATTTCTCAGCACTCATAGCAAGGAGATCCAACCAGTCCATCCTAAAGGAAATCAACCCTGAATATTCATTGGAAGGACTGATGCTGAAGCTGAGGCTACAATTCTTTGGCCACCTGATGCGGAGAGCCAATTCATTGAAGAAGACCCTGATGCTGCGAAATATCAAAGGCAAGAGGAGAAGGGGGTGACAGAGGACAAGATGGTTGGATGGCATCACTGACTCAATGGACATGAGTTTGAGCCAACTCAGGGAGATTGTGAAGGACAGGGAAGCCTGGTATTCTGCAGTCCATGGGGCTGCAAAGAAACACGACTTAGCAACGGAACAACAACAACAACATCTTTTTGAAAAGATCCCTCTGTGTCCAGGCATTTGGGGGGCTCGATCATGTGTTTGGATTTGCCTTGTGCACAGTTTATCACTTACAGCTTTTCAAGATCCCTTCTTAGTTCCACATCCCTGGACAAGAAAGACCTACAGACTAAAGAACAAGAGGCTGTACCATCACAGCCCTTCTGGAGTGGCCCCTAATCCCTGCTGCTCAAAACTTCGTTTTATCTTTCCTTGGAAAGGTGTTTGTTTAACACAGGGAAATGTATCTGTTGTACAAATAAAGGACTTATTTGGGCAACAGAAAAGGATAGAGCAAGTCACCAGGCTTCATAAGAATAGAAACACTGATTGTCACTGTGTTTCTTAAACCCTTTTCAGGGTATGTCTGCCTTTGAGGCTCAAAGTCATGAATATACTCCACTGGGGAGTATATTGCACATATAATTTTACAAATATTTTCAGGGGGGTCTAAGGACTCCTTATTCTACCCTACCCCGGTGCTCCATCTTTTACAAATCACTCTCACATACATTTTATTTTTGACCATCACACATGACCCTGCAGGGCTGATATTCTGAGTTTCCTTTTCAGACAAACTGGGGCTCTGAGCAGCAGCTTGCTTAATATCACTTAGTGAGTGTATTAGGGAGGCTTCACAGCTCTAAGTTCATATTCTTTCCACTTGTCATACTGGCCTGTATTATCTGCATGGCCATCTCCATAATCCATCTCTCGATTAGGAAGACCAAGCAGGCCCAGGCTCTGTTTCTGTATTTGGAATTTTTAAGGCACAATGTGAAGTGTAATTCCGAGTGCAGGTGGTCCTGGACTGAACTTGATGAAGATACACCCAGCTCCAAAGGGAGGGCTCCTTACCCGAGATGAATGGTCCGGATGTGCTTCTGGATACCCACTGCAGTGCTCAGAACCTTCCCACAGTTCTTCCAGAGGCATTTGAACATCACCTTCATGGAGTTCTAATAAGGGAAGACAAGGTTACATTACAATGAAAACTAACCCATCAACATAATAGCTTCCCATTCTCTTGACTATAACTCAGCACACCATTCTAGGAAACCCCCCAGGCAAGGATCTTAGTGACCTCAAGAGATTTTCTTGCTTCCTTCTTGAATACTGAGCCCTGCTGGAATCTTTAGTTTACTTTTTTAAAAAATTATTTTTAATTGGGGGATAATTGATTTACAATATTGGGCTGGTGTCAGCCATACATCAACATGAATCAGACACAGGTATATGTATGTCTGCTCCCTCTTGAAACTTCCTCCCACCCCATTAGTTCACTTTTTTTTTAAGGTGGTTACAGTGTCTTTTAGGCATTGTTCTGTGCTTAGTCGCTCAATCATGTCCGACTCTTTGTGATCCCATGGACTGTAGCCCACCAGGCTCCCCTGTCCACAGGGATTCTCCAGGCAAGAATACTAGAATGGGCTGCCATTCCCTTCTCCAGGGAATCTTCCCAACCCAGGGATGGAACTCAGGTGTCCTGCATTCCAGGTGGATTCTTTATCATCTGAGTCACCAAGGAAACCCGGCATTAATGACAGGGAATTTTAGAGTATTCGTTCAGCACTTAGTATGTGCCAAGTGCTAGTCTAAGAGTTTATCTCATTTAATCCTAAAAGATGGATACTATTATCATCACCGCTTTACAGATTCATGGAAAGCTTCAGTAAAACATGCCTAGTCAAGGGAGCCAGCTTCTAGCAAAACCAGAATACGAATTTTGGAAGTCTGGCTCCTGGAACTACTCTCTCCACCAGGACACAAATCTATCTTCTCCTACAAGGATCTTAGAAGTTTTCCAAAACAGTCCAGCAAAGTGATTGAGAGCACTGATTTTGGACTTACTTTCTCAAGTTCTAGTTTCCTTATTTATCAAATAAGAACAATAGTACCTGTCTCACAGGGTTATTATGATGATTAAATGAGGTTATGAAAGCAAATCGTTTAGCACAATACTGACAGGAGTAATTATTCAACCAATGGCAGCTATTATGGTCTTATGATGATTATACTTCCTGGAGTGAATTTGACAGGGAATGAGTTTTCTCCCATGTGCTCACCAAGCCCCATCCTTGTTTCCTCCTGGGAACACAGCTAGACTACATTTCCCAGCCCCCTTTGAAGTTAGGCGAAGTCACGTGACTGAATTAGGGCCAATGGAATAAGGGCAGAAGTGACATACATTCCTTCTAAGCCTGGTCCCTAAACTACTTGTCAATGTCACTCCAGCCTGTTTGGCTGATTAGAGGTTGGGGATACTCAAGGACTCAGGGGACAGTAGCGCCACTAGATCAGGGATTTTTTTTTCCAATATTTTAAAAATGGATGTATAGTTGATTTACAATGTTGTGTTAATTCTGCTGTACAACAAAATGATTCAGCTATACATTTTTTTCTATATTCTTTTCCATTATAGTTTATTATATGATATCGAATATAGTTCCCTCTGCTATACAGTCAGAACTTGTACTTTAGATTAGGGGTTGTAATCTTTTGTTGGCCATGAATTCTTTTGGCAGTCTGCTAAATTCTATGAACCCCTTCTTAAAGTAATGTTTTTATTAATAATGTTTAAAATAAAATACACAGGATTAAAAAAACTGTGAGTGTGCTGAAACAGTTACCAAAATACTAAAAAATTTTGTGAAGTGGTAATATATATACTCTTTAACACATAAACTAATAAGATCTTTAAGTGAACCTAGTAACTACCATAATTTCAAAGTAGTGTTGTGCGTAAATGATATTTCATGATATCTGCTAAGATTGCAGGGTGATATGGAAACATCCACATTTCGTATTGGTAGTAACATCACAGGAGGCACTAATAGTATTGTGGTTTGATGTCTCCAATCATAATTGTAGGAAATGCTAAATTATAGTTATAACATTAATGACAATAAAGATTACTTTTGCTCCCATCTAATTTCACAGACTCCCTGAATTCTTTTCGCTCCCTTTACGGGACTTGTGGACTCCAAGTTAAGAATCTCTGCACTGGGAGGAAGGGGTCTGGGTCCCTGGAGGATGTGTAGAGCAGAAACACCCCTTCATCACTTCTGCTGACCTGATTGGATTGTGACATGAGAAATCCTTTATGGAGTTAAGCCACTGAAGTTTAGAAATGGGTTGTTTCAACCGTAAGCCTCCCCTGACCAATAAACAATGACACCTTCCCTGAACTGACAGAATTGCTGTAGGTTTGTTTACAAGTCTAGTAGGATTTCTGCTCTCTAGCCCTGTTCTAGAAAGCCATCATTTACACATTTAGAGGATGACTCACTGGCTATTATAATGGAATTAGTACTCTGATTCAGCCAGTCACCCCCACCCAAATCTTTCTCAATTGAAACAAAATACCTAGGAACTTACAGAAGTGAGAAGTATCCTGTGTGTTGGGAATGATCACTTTCGGGGTGGCAAGTGGAAGACACAGCATGGTGGCACATGGCTACAGTCTGTTGCAACAGATAGATTAGTGGCAGCAAGAAGGAGCCCATGCCTCCTGTGAGCTTCATGAGCCCAGGGAACTGGGGGGTCCCAGAGGTTCCAGGTGGCTGGCCTTCCTGACACCACGACCTAGCCATTCCCACTGCAGCTCCCGGACATGCCCGCCCATCTTCCTGCTGCAATGAGCAGTACTGAGCTCCAGGAGCTAGCTGCAGCAGCAGAGCTGGAGCAGAAACTGAGAGAGGGATGTGAGGGGAGCTGAGAAGCAGAGACAGAATTAGGACACTTTAAAGTACACTATCCTGATGAGTTGGTGTTTATTCTAAGGAGACCATTCACAAATTTCAGGCTCCTTGATCTCCTTGAGCCACTGATCCAAATGCATGAGATGGAAGATGAACCAAAGGGGGGGAATTTAAAACTTGCCCTGCCCTCTACTCCAGCTCCAAGGTTCACAAAAAAGAATTTGGCTTGATTTTTTTTTAAATTCAGAGCAGATGACGACGATATTAATGAACAAATCCTCACCCTATGAGTGCTTTCTGCTCATTTTTCAAACAATGAAGCTGTTCTATTAAAAAATATCTTCCACTTAAGGGAATTAATGACTCAAACCAAAATTACAGGTATCTGAGAGTCCAAATATCCATCTGGAAATGAAGTCATGATAGATGAAAGCACTTTTTGATTCATTCCTAGTCTTCTTGCTGATGGTATTCCTTTATTCATTAAATTAAATAGCTACTTAGCAAGGAATATTCCAGTGGCTGTGATGGAAAGAAAAGAAGCTGTTCTTCAGGAACTTACATTCTAATGGGGGAGAGACAGAAATGATCACAAATGATGACTGTTTCAGGTATGGTAATGTTTCTGGAAATGGGGGTGGGAAACGCTAGGTCAGACAAAGCCTCTAGAAGGTGACTTGTGAGCTGGGACCTGAAGATTGGAAAAGGAGCCAACCATGCTATGAGCTAGTGTTTTCCAGGTAGAAGGAAGAGTTAATGAGAAGCTGTGAAGATGCAGAAGAGCTTGACATACTGTAGGGCCAGAAAGGAACAGTTAGTTTGGAGGGAAAGGAGAGACGGTGTGATCTGTTTGAGATCATGTGGAGAGGCAAGGAGGGCCATGGAGGCAAGGAGGATTATGCAGGGTCTTATAGATAAGGGTAAGGAATCTGGATTTTATTCCAAAATAAAGAAGCTACTGAAGGGGTTGAAGTCGGGAAGTGATATTATATGGTTTAGACTTTAAGAAAATATCACTCTTGGACTTCCCTGGTGGTCCAGTGTGATTAAGACTCCATGTTTCCAACGCAGGGGGTGTGAGTCGGATCCCTGGTTGGGAAACTAAGATCCAACATGCTGTGTGGTATGGCCAAAAAGAAAAGAAAAGATCACTCTGTTCTGTTCTGGGGAGGAAAAATAAGGTCACCAGTGTAGTGCTACTGCAGGTCAGAAAAGACGGCGGCTTGAAGAAGGTTTGGGCCGTGAGAACAGAGATAAGTAGACACTTTCAGGGTCCATTTTGGAGGCAGATCCAGCAGTACCTGTTGTTGGGCTGAGCATGAAGAGTGTTAAAAGGGATGGTATTAAAGATGACTTCTGTATCGAGATGAGTTGAGGTTCTCTTTGGGATACATTCATTTTGAGATACCTACTGGCTAGTAGGACAATGGATCTATGAGCCTGAAACTGAGAAGAAGTCAGGTCTAGAGATATACATTTGGAGTCAGGACCTGAAGGAGTTCTTAAAACAGATCTAGATGAGACCATCTAATGGGATATACAGCTAGAGATAATTAGAAGGCCCAGCATACTGCAGATTCAATATTTCATGTTGGAGACTGAGAAGGAAAAGACAGAAAGAGAGAGAGGGTGTGGGCAGTAGTGTTAATCAAAATAGGGTGGTATTACCAACACAAATAGAAGAAAGTGGCTTAAGAAGGAATATGTGACTTATGCAGTATCATTTGATGTTCCCAGGTGGCGCCAGTGGTAAAGAACCTGCCTGCCAATTCAGGAGATGTGAGAGACGCAGGTTTGATCCCTGGGTCTGGAAGATCCCCTGGAGGAGGGCATGGCAACCCACTCCAGTATTCTTGCCTGGAGAACCCCATGGACAGAGGAGCCTGACAGGCTACAGTCCTTAGAGTTGCAAAGAGTTGGATACAACTGAAGTGACTTCACATGTGTGCATGTACAACAATTAGTCAGTTATTAATAAGATAGTCTTTCAAAATTAATATAATAGTATTACACAACATGCAGAGCCAAATTCCTCCAACACCTTAGGAATTTCTTACGGTCAAATTGGTAACTGTTTTGGGAAATGACAATCACAGTGGTATTTCTACACCACAACAAGTATTATTGATAAGACTGCTGTTCCTGGTTCTTGCAATAACATGTCAAGCATTTGCTTCTTGAATTGATTAATAAAGCCTGGTACTAATGATAGAAAAATAAATCTCATTGGTATAACTCCTTTCCTCAGGAGGAAATAG